GAATTTTCTTGGTGCTACTGGTCCATTTCCACCATCTCTGCCCCAACAAGTACCCATTGGCTAGGGAAGAGAGGCTAAAATGGCAGCTCTAAGATCTTCACATAAATTCTGCTGATGTTTAAGTGTCTACCAAAAAAATAAACCAAACTATGCACTTCTTTCTTCTGTAGTACACTTACTGCAGCAACTCCATTTTGCTCTGAAGAAGGTGGAACTGGGCTGGTAAATCCAGTAACAATTTTAGCAGACTTGCATTGAGGTCCTTTTATTTCCTCCAGCCTGACTTTGCCCCATGTTTCCTTTTCTCTGCTGTCTCACACTGTCTCACTTTCTTTTTTTGTCCCTTTGACCCAGTCATGCAGGGCAGACTGAGTGACATGTTTTGGGTAGGGTTGTGTTTTGTATTTCTGAGTGGATGATGATTGCACTGGCAGTACTTAGGGCTGTAGACCTTGGAATAGGAGAATTCCCATGACTCCTGCTCCTACAGACCCTTCTTTGCAAGCCCTATTCAAGAGAGGCCAAGGCTTGTCCAGTCTGCTGCAGCACAGCCTCCAGTATGGGCAATTCTTGTTGAAGCTGTTCTAGGGGAGAAAGAGACTTTTATGGTCTGGCTATGCAATGAGGCCGAAGGAGCAGGACTTGCCAGTCCTGCCTTGCCAGATCTGTTGGGTATGGCCGTGGGAGGGGAGAAGGAGGCAGCTCCTGAGTTGTCTCTGGCCTAGAGGAAGGGAGGGTTGTTATGGTGGGGGGAGGGGTGGGAGACACACATGGGAATGGGGATTATTTTTTATCATCTTTTCCCCAAGAGCTTATGGCTGTTCTGGTTTATTGGAGGTGGAAACAAGACTGCATGCCTCAAAGGGCTTTGAAATAAGCACATGCAAGCCAGATTCTCACCAGCTGTAAGTCCGTGAAAGTGATAGAACTGTACTGGTGTCATCAGCAAGGTTCTGTCCCATACACTGGTATTAGGGTACATATGCAGAGCTGGCATTTAGAGATGTGCTAGCTTAGCCATCTCCTCTGTGTGTGTTTTAGTCTCCTCCCAAGCCACCTCAGAACTGAGGCTGTTCGTCCCCTTCCTCATTCCCATGTGCTGGCTGTCCAGTGCTCCCAGTTTACTATTACTCTTAGAAAGCTGGTAAGGGCACACACCTTCCATTCTGTCTGTTGGGACCTGTTGGCAGTGCAGTTCTGCCCACTCCTGCTTATGTCTGCTGTCAGGCTGCAGACTCTGTATACTCTTCATTAAGCCTTCTGACCTGCTGTCTTCAAAAAGCAGCAGGGAGGGTGTCCCTGACTGAAGCTGTGTGTCTCAGAAGACCAGCATAGCTGTCGTTGCAGACACATACTTGTCTTTTCCCAGCTTTAACAGCTTTTTTCTCCTTGCTGTTGAGCCTCCTTAGCCAATGGAGAGGGGAACTGCAGCAGCAGGATTTGGAGGGAACAGGAATCCTTTTCTCCTCCCTTCTTCTCAGGACTTCCCCTTCCTTTACCAGAGAAGGTTCAAGGTGAATTTCAGGAGCGGAACCACGGAGGGAAGTCCCTTGCCCTTGTTTTTGTTCAGGGGCAGTGCTGGTGAGATGAGGGAGGGAGCATCTTTCTCGGACAATCCGTCCATTTTAGCCAACGTGTCAGATAGTATTCTGTACAGTGATAATGCAACAGCACATTTTAAATTATTTAATCCTTAGGGTACTGGTATTTTCTAGACTGCCAGGTGTGTACTTTGAAGTTTGTGTGTGTATATAAAGTCTGTAGTCTATCAAAGGTTAACAGAAATTCCATTTGTATGACTGTGTTTTGTAAGTTTTGCAGCAGTCAGTGTTGGTCAGCTGTTGATTGCTCTTCGCTCTGGTTCCCAGATTTTTTTCCCCTCTTCCTTTCCTTGCCCTCCACTGCCTTTCTGATGTCAACCTTCCTATCCTACAAGCAGACAGATGAGACTTGGAGCCTATAGGCTATTGGGGGGAATTCCCCTTTTTTAATTACTTGAAGGTCAACAAAAATATTAACATATCTGGGTTGTCAGGAGTTCCCCCTAAGTTCATCTCTTCGGTATGATGTCACCCCTCACTTGGTGCTGACTCCAGTACCGTGGTGTTCACACAGAACTGAGCATCAGCATGGTCAAAAATGATGAAATTTATAGATGCAAAGAAAGGTGAGATATAAATAGGAGGAAGCCACTGTTTAAGCTGACTCAAGAACAGTTGTCATATACATATCTGTATATAGAATTTTTTACATGAATGCTTTTACTTATTCCTGGCAACCTAATGAATTAATATTTTATGGCCATTTTTTGCTGCTATTGAGCTCAATTTGTGTATCAAATGGAGACTGAAGCTGCCTTTTTGCCTTTTCTGTAGACTTTGCACCACTTCACTTGAATGAATCACTTCTATCATTTCTTCCCTTCAGTTTTGCCTTCCTCTGAGCTAGCCACAGGCCTGTTCTCAGGAGGCAAATGCTCACTTCCTACAGGCAGCCACCACAGCAGGCAACAGCTGCCCTGGTAAGTGGCAGTGTCAGCAAAGGCCAAAGATGTGATGGGTCACAGAAAATGCAACTAGGAATATTTTAAGAGCAGGGTCAGGCATAAGGGGCAATAGAAGCAGGGAAGAAGGTATAGGGTAAGTGTGCAGGAAACTGACAGTAATGCTGCACCCAACCTCTGGGCTAACAGACTGTTGCAGAGTCTAGAACTGGCACCTCTCAGTATTAAGTGCAGTACATGTGTCGATGTACAGCCTGGAGGGCTGTCTTACCTCTAGGTAGGCTCCTTCCTTGTCAAATCTGTATCAGAGCAGAAGAACCTAAAGCTGAATGTGAAAAGGGCAGCTCCTGGCCACCTTTCTGGCAGGGCAGCTCAGAGACAGATTGATTGTAAGAGCCCAGGGCATGCATCACTTTGGTTGCTGCCTGGGCTCTAAGAATGTCTCAGTGTGTTCTGCTATAGCTTAGCTCACACAAGCTTCCCATGAGATTGTTGTCTTGTTCCTGTAAGCACAGGGTGAGGACCAACTTGCTCAGCTGTGGGGTTTCACTGCTGCTGAGCTCCGCTGCTGTTCGTTCAAGTCAGATGGATTTCTTTTCCCGTGTTTAAAAGGCAGTCATGGAGACAAGAGGCAGCTTTCTGCCTCCTGGCAAGCTGCCATCAGGGCACTCACTCCTAGCATGTGGGCACTTGCAGAGACAAGTGAGGAGATGATACCCCATCTCTGCCAGGCTTGGAGGCTGTGGATTTGCAAAGGGGAAAGTCCAAGTGCATGGTCTGTGACAGAGTGCGTGGAATTCTGAAATAAAATGACTTTCCACAGTAACCTGGTTTTCTCTGGTGTGTTTATAAACAAAGGAGTGTCTCTCTCTGCTTTCATCTCAGTGCATCACCTCCATGCTGATATAATTCTGCACCATGCTAGTGCTTGGGGACTGACGTGCCCCTTGCTGATTCACTTGCTTTCCCTTTGGGCACTCAACGCTTTGCAACTTGTCTTGAGGGAGCAGTGAGCTCTGCACTGCGGTGTGCTGGCTCCTGGCAGCACTCACGGCAGTCACAAGATGATGCGTAATGATGGTGCTGTGCCTCCCATCCTTTCCCTATAGCCCTCATGCCCAGGCAGGCACCTGCCTTTCCTGTGGCTCCCCAGACTTCAGAGGCTTCCGGGCGTCTGGAATGTTAAACTTTCCTGTGCAGACTCCCCCACCCTTGCTCAGCCACACCACTCCTCTCCCCTGCCAAGTGCACTCCTCTTTATCTGGGCATCAGCCTCGAGGCAGTATGGGAGCCAGTTGCCACAGCCCTGGGTCTGCTGTGTTGAAGCTCTTTGCAGTAAGCCCCAGTTTTACGTGCCCTGGGAAGGTGGGGTGGAAATGTTGGGTGTCAAATAAAGCATGAAGTGATGCTACTTATGATGGGTCCCAGGCTCTTTCATTCTGGAAAGACACGCTACAGTGACAACATCATCCTGTGAGACTTGTTTTAATGAAGGCTAATTATTTTGGAGGGTATTTTACAATACAAAGGGAGTCTACATCTCTAACCTTTTTTCTTCTGATGCCCCTTGCCTGTGCTGATTTTTTTTCCCCTTTCATCTGTTCTATGGTAGAAACAGATCAAGATGAGATCAAGCACATTTCATGCCATACAGTGTCTAGTGGGAACACCTGAAATGAGCTGCTCTGTGGAGTCTGTGACAGGTTAAAGCCCCTGGAATGCCTAGAGCCTGCAATACATGCTTAATATACACAGTGGTTTGCACCTTTGCATAAAAGCTGTCCTGGCAAGAACAGGGCGGAAAGATCAAAAGATAAAGGTTTGTTTAATGTAGAGAAGAAATAATTGAGGGGAGTGATGATAATGATTTCAAGTATGGAAAAGGTTCCTACAGAGGCAGAAGAGCATGAACACTTCTCCAGGCTGCAAAGACTCAGAATCTCTCTTGTTCTTAGCCTAAGGAGCAAATAGCTTGGGAGGAAAGTGAACTCTGGAAAAAGCAAAATATTTTGCTGACGTTGTTACATAACCACAGTCCTGTCCCGGGAATTAATTTATCTAACTTACATTTTAGTTATTTATTTTTGCATCTCTTCCTTTGACAAAGTACAAAATTCCAGCCTGACTACTTTGTAGCTGATCTTAAGCTGGGAAAGAGAGGATGACTGAACCCCAAACTTGAGATGATCACGCTAAACTGTTGAATTGTGGTAGAAACCAATGAATGTTTCTTTTTTTTTTTTTCTCGAAATACTTCATCACATCCATGTTTTTTAAGGTTTATTTTAGTCTAAACTCCAGAAAAGCTGCAGACAGCTGTTGCTTTTTCAATTTAGTGTCATGGAAAAAAAAGAGGATCCTCTTCCAAATGAGGAGTTTCTCTTCCAGAGAAGATAAAATATGTTTGCCCACTACCTGCAGTAGGTATGATTCAATGGTTCCAGTGTGGCTCAGTGAATCTGGGACTGGATCTTGAAACACTG